GACGGGGGAAAAAAAAAAAAAAAACCGAAAAAAAAAAAAGAAGAACTACGACGACGAAAAAAAGAACTACATATGCTGATCTTTAGCCGCGTTTTTTTGATTGAGCGGGCCACTCGTATCTTAGATACTTGTTCGAAGGAATATTCTGGGCAGCCTGCTGTTCCAGGATACTGTCAGATTTAGGGCAGCCTGCTGTTCCAGGTGTGTGTGTCTGTTTCTGAATTAGATACTGTCAGATTTAGGGCAGCCTGCTGTTCCAGGTGTGTGTGTCTGTTTCTGAATGTTGTGATGAAGAAGATGAATAATTATTTTCAATATGTGCGTTGCAGGTATCGTTGCGACGACGGATGTGGTGGAAGCTGCGACCGGTGTGAAGGTTGCGGTGATGGTGGGCGGGTTCCCTCGCAAGGCTGGCATGGAGCGCAGAGAAGTTATGGGCAAGAATGTCACCATCTACAAGGAGCAAGCGGCCGCGTTGGACAAGTACGCCGATAAGGACGTCAAGGTACGACAATCATGTCCAAGTCCACCTCACGAGCAGAACAACAGAATGCCACGAAGCAGAACAACAGAATACTATGAAACTCCGACAAGGACGATAAGGAACGGCGGTTGTCTGGTCCATCCCATGAGCACAGGAACAGAATAGTACGGAACTCGATGGGGGGTCAATAAAGTTTTCACCTGTCGCCTTGATAGACCCATGAATTTTGTGTTTTGTTTTGCAATTGGAGCATTTCTGGGTTCATGCGTGTGATCCCTCCGCAGTGGCTATGCTAATCGTCTCTGTTTGCTTCCAATTTTCACGGATGTCCCGGAGGTTCGGTGGAGGACAATGTTTATTCTATTTGCCTTCGACTTTTGTCATTCCGCGAGTTAACCTGTTTTCCTATTGCATCTATTCTTTCTCGTTAACAATGAATAGACGATCCAGTGCGTGGACAAGTATGCCGATAAGGTCGTCAAGGTAAGGCAAGCATGTCCTGTCCATCTCACGATCAAAGACAACAGAATACTACCAATCTTATCGGGAGTGGAGTGTTTACTTGTCGCCTTGATAAACCATGAATGTTTATTGTAGTGCACTTTTCGACTGATTTGTCATTCTTCCTGTTGTTCCCTTATAGGCTATAGCCTCGGTTTCCATCAGGCGAGACTTCGCAACAATTGATCGGATTATGTCTGTGGTGGACTGCTATCACCTTTGCTACAAATACAACGCACGGTCATGGTCATTCTGGTAGCTGTATTTGGGATTATTTTCAGTCCGGATACGTCGATAATACCCTGGCACGCTCTTTCGGTCAAGATACGGCGAAAGTTGCAACAAGGTAGTATTTGCCTTGCGGAGTCCCATTATCAAACAATTGACTCGAAAGGGGCAAGAACTTTGACAACCGACTTCTAGGGGGCACGAACCTATGGTCGTGATAGAAACGGGCAAGAACTTTGACAATCGACTTCTAGGGGGCACGAACCTATGGTCGTTATCACTGTATCTAGGCTGGAAGTTGCCTCGCATACATCGAGAATTTCCGTATCGTATGCTCTATTCGGGGAGGACGAGATCTGCGTAGGTGTAAAGATACCGCTCTCAGAATTTAGTTCTGTTAGTATGTGCTGAATTCGTCATATCTTCCCTCACGATTTGTATTCATGAGGGATGAAAGTGATGATGAAGTATGTCGGCGTCAAAATGAGAAAGAGTTGTGGATCCGCTCCTGCGAGTATGCACTCATATATAATGAGTCGTTATTGCTCGTCACTCTTTGCTTGTCACTTCGTTTTTTTTTTTTTTTTTAGATAGTGTGTTGTSGGAAAATCTGTTGACTGTAGTCTATGGAATGGCGATCCTCACGATTCGTAATTAGGGATGAAAGCGATGATGAAGTTTCTCGGTGTCAATACTGAGAAAAGTTATAGACCCCTCCAGCATTTGGCCCTGGACCATGTCGCACGATGTCCGACAACAGCTTGTTTGATTGCGTTGTGTCTCCTATACGTGGACGTTGTTTGCTTTCGGTGTTGGATTCTCTTGACAGTCTCTTGTTGTATGTGGACGCCGCGTTGTTGTCGCAGGTGCTGGTGGTTGCGAATCCSGCGAACACGAATGCGCTCATTCTGAAGGAATACGCGCCGTCGATTCCCCCTAAGAACGTCACCTGTTTGACGCGTTTGGACCACAACAGGGCTCTTGCGCAGGTGGCGCAGCGCGCGGGCGTGCCTGTCATCGATGTTAAGAACGTCATCATCTGGGGCAACCACTCCTCCACGCAGTATCCTGACGTCAACCACGGAGTTGTCAAGACTTCGGACGGCGTCGAGAAACCAATCAGGGAGGTCATCAACGATGACGAATGGTACGTCCGCAAGGCTCTCTCTCTCTCTCTCTCT